GTATATAGTATATAGTATAGTATGAATAGGGATACAGTAGTGTAGTATGGAACATAGAATAGAATAGAATAGACTAGTCTAGAATAGTATAGGGTATTCTATGGCAGCAAAATCGTCACTGCACGCAGCAGGCCTCCGAGATACTCAGCAGCACCTGTGCGGCCGCACGCCTCGCCTGTGAACGCGCTGCGAGGCTTGTTGCTTTACGTGGGTTTTTTTTCATAGGGTTTAGGGTTTGGGGTAACTTGCGGGAAGCTTGGGCCCTGCAACTTCCGGCTGCGATGAAGGGCCTCGTTCGTCCCGAGCGCAACCGTACGTGTCACCACGTCCAGCCCTGGGGTGTCCAAGCCACCTAGGTTCACCAGTCTCAGACTGCATATCACATGTTGGTCTCGTCTTCGGGCTCCGGCCAGAAAAAGCCATGAAGCTAAATGCTTTGCTGGCCTCAGCATTCAGATGCAAGGGTCGTTTCTCGCAGAACTCCATGGAGCAAAAGCCGTCCCTGCCCGGCTGTGCTTGTTGTGCTCCGTGGAGTAAGACATCCCACGCAACCGAATTAAGGCCATGATAGGCGATGCATCCATGCAAAGCCTCACAGCACAGCGGGTCAGCGCCAGCCCTTTGGGTCATGGTTCGGACCGGCCGGGCTTCTTCCGAAAAATTTGCCCACTTCTCAAGTCTGGTTCTGGGCCTCAGACAGGCACCAACCAGGCCGAAGTGAGACTGACAGCACATCGATGACTCACAGTGGGTCTTAAAGCCTCACAGCCGTGAGCAGATGCCAATTAGCCCTTCGAACTCTGCTTTTCAAGCAGTTCCTAGCTTCAGGGCATAGCTCACCCCGGCTGTGACAGCATGGAGGATTAGGAAGCCCCGCGGAGATTTCGCATTCTTCCGGCTGGAAAATACCAGCGTGAAGGCAGGCAACATCTACACATATCGTTTGCGCTGGAGCACTGTCCCTGCAGGCGGGATCACCAATCCTTCATGATCTTTTTCCTTAGTTGGTGAAATGCACCGGCAATGCCCAACCTCTGGATTCAGCACGCCAGTCTGTCTTTTACAAGCGGCCATTCTCTACTGTATGGAATGTTCATGAATGGTGCCAGGCCTGCAACAAAGAACCCAGGAATCTAGGAAACACTTCTGGCCCAGGCGCAGCTGCTCAACGGTGACCCACGTGATCACGACCTCAAGGATGTCAGGCGTGAACATCGTGTCGAAGCTCCGTGCCACCCGGCAAAAAAAGAAGTTTAACACGATCACGCTTACTTCTCCAAGCCGCGTAAGGGCATTGCCGAGCAAAGGTGGCCGGAAAACCCTTGTACAAGGCCAAAGGTCCCTCCTGCTCAGCATGTCCAAGGTGGTTGCGCTTACTCCAAAATCGTCGCTCGCTGAAAGCTTCCCGGCCTGCTGCGCAATCGTGCTCATCGTCTGCACCGTACTTCTGTAAAGCCTTACACTCTCAGGGGTGAAGTTCGGAAGACCGGCAACGCATGGCCAACGAAGTCCACGGCCAGAACATGGCACATGTCCAAGCAGCAAAGGCTTGCCCTCTTCGGCTTTCTGATTCATCAGCCGGGTCTTCGCCACGTCCACAGGATTGGACATCACCTGAAAAACAGAAACAACTGAAACACGCGGAGTCTGCTGAAGATCTTCAGTCCCACATTCTTCGGCGCGGACCACGTGGGGAGTTCTCTAAAGTAGGCTCCCTTTTTAGGTCCCCAAAATAGTACGGCACCCTTATGAAAAGGACCCCTCATTTAGAGAACTACCCATGTGCAAAAAATGTGCAGCACCGGGCCTTTACAGGAATCCTCTTATAAGAACCCTATAAGCCCTATAAGCCCTGAAATAACGTGCAGTACCGGGCCCGGCACTGAGGCGATGAAGGCAGCTCCGAAGCTAGAGGACAGATGGAGCCCGACCTGACAGGACGTGAGGAGACGACCCTGAAACCTACCTTTGGCTAGTAGGGAATGGAAGAATGGTAGTCCTTTGGTTAGTAGGGAATGGAAGAATGGTAGTCCTTTGGTTGGTAGGGAATGGAAGAATGGTAGTAATGGTACTTATAATTTTTTCCCACCCGCTTCGCTGACTAGGTCGCGTAGTAATGGTACTTATAATAGGGTTTAGGGTTTAGGGTAGTTCCCATTCCTCCATTCCCTACTAACCAAAGGTAAGGAAAAGGCATGCAAGGACCGCGCTGCAACACCTACAGAAATCACTGTCTGATTTCAAGATTTTAGCCGAGAATTGCTTTTTCCTGGTATTTATACTAGTATTTTGATAGTCATTGTTATCATGACTAAGTACTAGTAGTATACTATGTGTGACTACTCTTTTTTGTCGCTCTTCTCCCCAAGTGTGAACTGAGGCGTTGACACCCTCCTTCATCTTGAATTTGTCCTGGGATGCTCAGAGCATCTTTCCGGCCCACAGATAGGGACATGAGTTGACCGAATACTACAGGGCCTTAATCATTAGAATAGGGTTTCGGGGCCCATTATTATAATTACTATAATGATAATAAGGACCCCCCACAAAAAATTAGGCCCCTATATTACTCGATGAGCCCTCTCAGTCCACAGCACCGTGTACTATCATCGGCGCTCGACAACTATTCTCTGCGTTCATCCCTTGAATTCGATTCTGATGCGATGGCTGATCGGCAAGGCAAGGCAAGTTTCCAAAACCACAGATCCGTCTGAGTTTCCAGAACCACAGATCCGTCTGGAAAGATGCTGCCCTAAGCCACCCCTCACTTCACCTCCTAGCCATGCTCACTGCACGAAAGCTCACTCACCGTCACTCACCGTATGGCCGCCCTTGCTCGAGCCCGGGCTTGGGGTTTTGTTTGCCTCTCGCATTGGTTTAGGGGTTCCGACTCTCACACTGCTAAGCTGAGTACTTGTACATTTACATGTTCCATATGTTCTGGGGATACGTGATTGCTGCATGCCCAGCATCAACGAAGACCTCCTTGCAGGTGTCGTACGCTGCCAGCTGTCCGACAGTAATTATTGTTGCCTCAGGTCCATCCGTGTCCAAGCACAGACTAGCATGCAGATGCCATCAAAGCAAGATACTATGCTCTCGCCCAGTCGCACGATTCATGTTAGGCACAACTCCTGTACGCCACATGGATAGAACTCCTTCTGAACGCGCGATCTTGCCAACCTGCACAAGCACAGCGCCTGCTTTATCATTCTGCATGTACTCTCCGAGGATGGAGCCGCATCAAAGATGTTTTTGTAGCCCCGACCTTGTGAAGCACTGACCATGGTCTTCCGAAAGGTCTTCAGACATGAAACCGATGTGCGCAATTGGCCAAGTGCATCAAGGGCCCCGGCGTTCTGCTTCTGGCAGCTTTCCATCTGCCTGGCGCTTGGCAGCGGAGCAACAAAGGAGAAGGGTCAACTACATCCTGTTGCTCAATTTGTCAATTGGGCTCACATACTGGCAAGTCGGACGTCAAGGCCAGCTGTTCTGTCTACTCGGACGGTGCTAGCGGCCAAGGTGCCTGCATTCGTACCATTGCCAGATCGCCCGGATTTCCAGCGAAAGCTCCGGTTGCACCAGCCACAGCCGCACAAATGACCTGGAGAGCTTAATCAGGCTCCGAGACGGATTCCGTCTGTAGGTAAGTGGCTGCGTTAGACATTCGCTAGTAACTATACTGATAAGACACAAACATGTGTCCCTCACGCAGCAGCCAAGGGCAAACTGCAAGACTCTGCTAAGTTGTCTCGAAGATGTGATGGCTACGGCATCGGTCCTTCTCTGCCGTGCTGAGAGGCCTCTGGGACTCGCCGCAGAAGCCCTGGACAAAATCTGAACATCTTGTGGCAGTTTTCCGGGAAAGGGCTGCAAAAACGAGGTCGTATGTTGCAGGTCTGCTGGCCTTAAGCATGTCATACATCCCGAACCGGACCTGAATTTGGCACCGCGCATCAGCCGCCGAAAACATCCATGCGAGCCACTCCTTGTCCCTTAGATCTGCTGAGCGGCCCCACTGTAGACCTCAGCTCACGAAAAATCCCTGTACTGTACTATACTCCACTACAATCTACGATACTGTACGATGCCAAGCTGCTATCTATTCTATACTTTGAACTTTACTATGAGCTATACTATACTATATTATACCATACTATACTATACTGTCCTGTACTGTCCTGTACTATGCTATGTCAATCTATGTCACTATGTGTTGTTTCCTTGCCAAGCTGCCAGTTGCCGAGCTGCCGAGGCATCGACACCTGCGAGACTGCACTCTGCGGCTTTGAGCCAACAGGCATCGTATAGTCGTACAGTATATAGTATCTAGTCTAGTCTAGACAAATATAGTCTAGTCTAGTCTTAGACTAATCGAGCATAGTCTAGTCTTAGACTAATCTAGTCTAGTCTAGTGTAGTTCAAATACCATGTGGTATAGTATGGTATAGTTAGTAAGTTTAGGGAGTATGGCCCCTGGTCATCACGCAGCTCATTAAAGAGTGAAGGGGTGCAATGCAGATGCAACCATCTTGAGATCTGGTGGCAGGCGCAAAGAGCCTTTGAAGAGGCCAAGGACACCCTCATTCTTGACAATATGAGGGCCCATCCTGAGACTGAGGAGTCTCTCGAGCTCTGCAACTTCCAAAGCTCCCATCAGAACGCCAAAAGGCCATATATCTTCCCGAGTCGCTGCAACATGCTGAGCTTGGGAACTTCCGTCTGCAGCTGCATCCGCACCTGCAAAATCTCAACTTTGTTGATTGTGTTTCTTCGGGTTTTTGGGTGTCTTCGCCGGCCTTGATCAAGTCCAAGGGATGCGCGCAGGATCCGCCGATCGCTGCGCCAACAGAGCCCTGTACGAAGCCCTGGCACAGCGGAGTCTCTGCAGACCTCTGCGCTGCCAGGTGCAAGGCCGCGGGCCTTCCAGATCTGGGCATTCTTCGATTTCGTTTCACCAGCAGGTGTCCGGGGCAGGCGGGCTTCCATGCCCAGGTGCTTCTCCTTCAGAGTGCAGCTCTGAAGGAGCCCATGGCCCTGGGTGAAGACAAGACCTTCAGCACCCCATCATACCCCATCCGGCCTGATTGCCATCAGAGGCCATGTTGCCTGCAGGTCACAGATTCATCTCAATTCTAGAGACAATTAGCTTTTCAAGTGGGCCTCTGCGTCCTGGCTAGCCAGTCTGGAAAATTTGCAGCTCGGAACCGAAACTTGAGCACAAAATGCTGCGATCTGGCATCGTTCTGCACCGATTGCATGACTGGCAAGCACTGGCGCAGAGATCTGCGTATCCCGTGCTCCTTCTCAACTGGGACAGCCGCCGCGGCTCGAACTTCTGCTACTGGATCGTGGAGGCCTTTACATCTGAGACACGAGCGGCATGGGAGAGGTGTTGATAGACATCTTGTTCTTTGCCTGTGCAGGCAGGCGTACATCTTGCCGTTACCACAAGTGCTCTCTTCACAGGGGCGGATACTTCAGTGCAGTGGCATAGCATTCACTGGGCGTCGAGCGGTCCAGCAGGCTCTGGATGGCTTTGACAGAAAGCTCCTGACAGAAGAAAGGTGGTATAATCCAGAAAAGTAAACAGTAAACCCCACAAGTCTTCGAATCCTGCATCCTGGATCTCTGAGTCCCGGCCTGGAAGGAGGCAGAGCTCATGTTGGAGAGGATCTCGATGGCTGCCAGGCCTGGGATCAAAGAAGGCACCCCAAAAAAGACGTTTCCTAGACGCCATCCTGCGAGGACCGGACGTATTCCAGAGCTGGCATTCGTCAGCTTCTTGATGACCTGAGCTGATATGCCGCGCAGGCTCCGCATGTTGTACAGAAAGAGACAAGATCGCAGGACTGACTGGCTCAATGCGAGCCGACAGGCGCGACTGACGAGCTGGTTGCAACGAGGCCGGTCACAGTCGCACAGCAAGTCGACTATCTTCTCACTTTTGGCGGCTCAGATAAATCCTCCGAACAGCTATGGAGCTTGCACCATCGAACCTGCACAGCCACTTTAGACTGCAGGCATCAACGCGCTAAGACGCTAGTCCAGGGGTCGGCCGATGTTGCGCAGATGCTGGAGTGCAGCTTTCATTACATGTTCAACGGTTTTGGGGTCAAGAGACGCCAATGCCATCTCGCCTTCGGATGTTTGTGCCCTACCCATCGTCATGACCTCCATGAGGGCCTTGGCAGCCATTGTCCCTCCGACCCCTCCACCTCCGGTTTCGGTATGCTCTGGTGGAGGTACATTTAGGCAGCCATTGCTGTAGAGCTCCTCCCACACCTCCGATACAGAGGGGCCAGGGAGGCGGTCGAAATCGCGCTTCAGCGGATATGCCTCTACGCCGACCAGCGTCACCAAGCACCCCAAGGTCGGATGCCACACAGGTAACCAACCCCCGTCTTCGGAGACTACCCGCCGCCACTGTTGCGTAGCATCCCATTCACCGAGGTTCACATGTTGACCAGGCCGTAAATGAGCGATGACAGGACTCTGCATCCACGGCTGGCTTCGAACCGCCACCATTGGCGAATGCTCGATGACGTGCAGAGACGACAGGGGCTTGGGCCCGGGCTCTGTTGCCGAACCTGCCTTGACTGACTCATCGGGACGGACTTCGGTCTGTTCCTCAGGTGGGCGAACCTCTTGCTCCTCGGATTGGTCAGGTAGCGCCGGATCGGTCGAGCCGGTGAGACTGCCAACCTGCCAGGGTGAGAGTTGGCAGGGTATGTAATTGTAGGTTACATAATTCATTAAAAATACTAATAATAATACTAATAATAAATATATATATATATACATACATATACATATGTATGTGTGTATGTGTGTGTATGTGTATGTATGTATGTATGTGTATATATATATATACATACATCTATAACTATATAGTATTATTGTATATGTAATATACCAGTTTATCATGTGTCATATATAGTGTATATTCATTTGTGTATATTTTTGCCATATATTTACATTTACATTCTATTTTATTATTTATCGCTTTATTTGGATGTTTATTTGTTTGCTTGCTTATTTACGTATTTGTTCATGTGATTGTTTATTTACTTAGCTATTTCTGGTGATATTTGTGTTTATCGTTTATACTTATATTTACTTCTTTTTTATTGAATGATACGGTACACAACACACCGTCTAGGACATACAATCAACACATACCAGATAATGCATCTTATCTCATATCTAATGATATCCAGTATCCGATATCTGATTATCCAACAGGTGCTTTGTATTCGACTGAGCCCGAACTGCCCGAAACTGTGCCCATGTCTCGCCTGCGCGGCTCCTTCCCGCTCCGCGCGCGGAGTTCCTGGGGAGGTCGGCTCGGGCACGGCGCCTGCGGACTTCGCCGACCTCTGCATCTCCGGCTCTTTTGACTCAGCTTCCCCTGCCGGGCTGGGAGGATGGTCCGAGTCCTCCTGTCCTGTCGGCTCCGAGGGGTCCCCGACAGGTCCGATGTCGGTTTTGGGCTCCTGGTCTTCTGGACCTGTTGCTGGCTCTAGTTGCCCATGTGGTGGCGAGAGCGCTTCTGCTTTCGAATCGGAAGGGGAATTCGTTCGAGCTATGTGGTCCAGGACCTGCGATTGCAGTGAGGCCGACAACGTGGAAGTTGCAGCCTCCGTCTCCTTGGGATCCACTTCTCGACCAGAGAACCTGGCAACATCATCGAATGGCAATGAGATTTCACATGATGCGTAAGTCTCGGAATGCAAAACGATGGCAAGCCCCATCTGTGCCCCGGGCAGATCAAGAATGATCTGAGTAGTATGGTCTGCCGCCAACTGCCTTCAGAGAAACCACGACTTCTGTGACTGGACACCTCGCACCTCAACGCACGGTCTGGCCGCGGCTGTTCAACCTCAACCCCTATCTATCGAGCCCTCTCTGAACAGCAGAAGGCGGCGAAGCCTTGCCACCATCTCCTGATGCGAGATGTGGTTCGGATTCGCAGAGCTCAGCAACAGCAGGGATACGATCTCGGAGTTGCCCACCGCTGCGGCCTGCGAGCGAGAGGGCTTCCGAAGGTGTCTTCGCCGGCCCTCCATCTGTCTTACAAAGTACCACCACAACAAGGACAGGGACGGCGACGGATCCGCAAGGCGTTCCTACAAGCCGCCGTGATGCAAAACGCGAGGAGCCCTTCCAAGGCCTCGAAGAGCGGCGTCTCGCCCACCTCATCCTGCGCATTGGGGTCTGCCTCATACACCGTAAGAGAACCGCCCTTGCTCACCACGGCACCTCAGCACCAGCCTTCAAAACCCACAGGCAAAGGCCCTGGCTCTTGCAGCAATCAGTCGGGAGATCTCCTGCACAACACCAAACCACTCTGCAGGTACTCGTGCTTTGCCAAGAAGCACACCGCGCGCCTCAAAATTGCCTTCCTGTGTCGCCGCCAGCAGCTCGCTTGCCAGGTCATCGCGACTCTCCAGCGACATGTTCGACAATGTTCGCGGAAGTTGTATCAGCTGAGTGTTGGCATTTTCCTTCTATTGCAAGTGAGCGGTGCGACACTGCGCGTTGCTAGGGACGTTCTGGATACCGCTGCAAGCGCTTCTGTGCCTTCTTTGGCGAATCCCGACAGGAGTGTCTGATGTGTTCCACACTTACTTCATCTGCGTTTGTTTTGGATGATTTGATAAGGGACAGCCGCAACACTCTGTGTTGCGCATCTGCTGCTAGAGGCATGCCTAGAAAAATCAGGAGAAAGAATTTCCAAGCAGAAGAGATTCCAAGAGCAGCACTCCTGCCGCGGCCTCATGACCTGAAGCTTCAGGAGCGCGCGACACTCACAGAGCCTGTCTTACGTTGCCGCTCTTTCGGTTGCTTCAGCATCGTCAGCTCTGCGATCCATCTTGCCGGGCAGGCACGCCCGGTTTCTCCTCGCTTGCATCCTGAACCCTTTTTGGTGAAACCCCTAAGTCTAGCCCCGAAAGCCCGAATGCACCTGGGCTATGCGTATGCCAGGCACTGAGCACCGACTGTGCTCCGAAAGCCTTCTGCATTTTTTTCAACCCAGATTCGGAGCCCTCAACCCGAAACCCTCAACCCCTCGAAACGCCTGCAAAACTCATGCACCTAACCCCTTTTTCCAGCATGGGCTTGGATTGTGTGCCAGCGAACACCTCCTCAACAGCACACCCTTCCCACCTAGACCCTGAACCCGAAGCCGCCTAAACCCTCAAGCAGAAACCTAAACCCTAAGCCCTGAACCCTAAACCCTAAACCCTGAACCCTAAACCCTGAGCCCGAAACCCTGCAAGCACCATCCGAAGACCGAGGTTTGAGCTCCCACTTTTCACGGCAACCGTCAGCTGCTCCACCGCCTGCTTCCGAAGCCTGCCAGGTCTTCCCTTTCTGTTAGCTTGAAGAATAGTAGATTATGGTTTTTGAATGGTGGAATTAAATAGTAGATTATGGCTTTTAGCGAATGGTAGAATTTAAATAGTAGACTATGGTATTTAATGGTTTTTTAATTAGGAGTAGGGTCTGGGTGTAGCGGTTAGAGCTTTTGCGGGTTCAGTGCCCTTGTGGAGCTTTACAATCTAAGATTCAAGACCACCCCTTGCCAGCAGCACAACAAATTGAAAGCTCTTGGTTCAGCTCTGCGCAGGCAAATCCCCGGTGGCCTCCACCAACTGCTTTCCAGTTGTTTCAACCTCTGCCCCATGCCATGCACATGAGTTCACCCTTCAAGGTATCATCATGCTGATGCTGGGCAACATGTTGATATGCATCTTGCAAGCCCAACTTTCAGAAAAGCCGTGCTGTAGTTAAGTAACCCTCTCTCTCTCTGCCGTTGCATCCATGAGGATCATGTTCTGCACTCTCCTGCGGCTGCACCCTCTGAACCCCACATTTGAAATCGAACGTCAAACCTGCAAGACTCGCTGAGCATCAGAACGCATCGTCCGTGCGCTCTTGCTCCACGAGGGCCGGGTGCGGCCTCACTCGTCCACCAGTCGCACAATGTCAGGCAGCGTGCAAGACGTCCAACCCATCTGATTGACACTTACTACCGTTACTCGCATTGCCCTTGTCACTTGCCTTTTACGGAGAACTCATCAATTTGAAGGCACTGTTTTGCCCTCTACTCTTGGTTTCCTCTTAAATCCAACGCTGGCTGGGTCTATCATCTCATGTTGAACTGCAGTGCTGCTCAAATGCAGCAGGAGCTATGCAATGTGACTCTGCAAACAAAGAGCATCGACAGCATCTGCTCAAATTTTAAGCTCTACCAAGGCGCTTCATCTCTATGTCTGGTGCACCAATGCGCACCTGAACATGTTGACTCCACCCTTCCACAGGGCCGAGCATCTTGGGTAGTCCAAGACTCTTCACAGTCCATGAATTTGCCGCCATCGGTGCACCATGCCGAGGGTTTTACGGATCCACCACTGCTCTCTCTAGGCAACAGGAGGATCCTCTTCATGACTCGAACCCACAATAATGAAACAAAGTCGTTGGCTAGCCCAGTGTGACGGATTCGTCGTCTTCCTGGCTGGGTGCAAACCCTGTACAAGCGGCACCCGTGCATGACGCTTCGCATGTCCTGCAGGCGCTGCTTTGCATCCGCTTCTAGCTTGGTAGATGCTGTGACTGCTCGGAAATCTCTGGAGGCTGCTAAATAGTTGAATTGCTTGTATCATCGCTATCATAGTACATGAATCGTCCAATCGAGCCCTGGAATTCTGTCACAGCCTGTTCCTAGTTCCTAGGAGCAGAAGCACTTCGGCAACAAGAGCTTGTCCCGGCCCTTCGGGCATTGCCCGCAACGGGCCTCGAGCTGAAAGGATCATTAAATCATTAAAGACTTGACAGTCTGTACTGATTGAACAGTCTGTACTGCGGCTCCGGCGGATGCGGTGAGACGAACCCATCTTTTTTCCAGAGACCCGTCTCACGTAAACTGAAGGCCCCTAATTTTGGGCCTGTGCAGGAACCCTACCGCACCGCAAAGGGAAAGCTTGCAGATCTTTCACGCTCATGCCATGCGGCACGCAGAGCAAGACGGACCACTGTCTTCCTCCATGACAATTTGGGGAAACCGGGCATCTACCTGGGCTGCGTGCAAGCAAGCTTGGCAGCATGTCTGGCCTCACAGTAAACCTTAGGCCTCAGGCCCTTGCAATGCCGCACGAAATGGTTGCGCTGTTGTGTTCTTCATGTTTTTGTCTTCATAATGTCACGCCAACAAGGAACGAACGAACAACAGCAGCAGCAACAACAACAATGACAATCGCCGACAATCAACAACCAACGACCAACCACCAACAATCAACAAGAAGAAGAAGAACAACAACAACAACACCAACAGCAACAGCAGCAGCAGCAGCAGCAGCAACAGCAACAGCAACAGCAGCAGCAGCAACAGCAGCAGCAGCAGCAGCAACATCAGCAACAGCAGCAGCTGCAGCAGCAGCAGCAACAGCAGCAACAGCAGCAACCACAACAACAAGCACAACAGCTGCAACCACAACAACCACAGCAACCACAATAACCACAGCAACTCTAACTTGAGCCACAGTCGCAACTGCAACCACTCCAACAACCCACAACCGACCACCACCACCACCACCGCCGCCGCCGCCGTCGCCGCCACCACCACCACCACCACCACCACCACCACCAGCACCACCAGCACCACCACCACCACCACGACAACGACAACGCCAACAACGAAGATAACGAAGAGCACGATTAGCGACAGCAACATGATACCTGCAACCCGTCATCAGAAGAGTGAGAGAGTGAAAGGAGAGCAATTGTACTTTTGCACGACAACGCGGACGAAGAACCATAAACAGATGTAAATTTGTAACCATCCAAAGCATGGGTGCATCTTTCTCTGTCTGCCATGATGCAGGCTCCCACCTCTTCGCAGCCAGCTCTGCACTCACAGCCTGTTCACAAAGGCATCATGATGCAGTACATGCGGTGTTGCAAGTCGTTTTGTGTTGCGCCTCGGCTGTGTCTCCCAGCTTCTTCTGGGCAAGTCCAGCCTCCATGACAGCGCTACACAGGGTCTGAGGGTTCTGTGCCAATGAAGAGTCGCTCGTTTCCAGGCCTCCTGTGCTGCCAAGACGACCCTCAAAGCAACGTTGTGGCCCACTTCACGGATCCGACCGGTGCTGGGGAGGACGGAGTCCAGCTCCATGTCTGCCTTGTCCAGAGAGTTGGCCACGGCCTCGGCAGCCTCCATGAAGAGCCGGTCCGGGATGTGGCTCGCTTCACAGCACATGGCGCCGAAGGAGACACCAGGGAAAATGAAGAAGTTGTTGACCTGACCTGGCCAGGGCGAAATGCAGGGAAACAAAGCCAAGCCCCAGGCAGGTCCGTTCTACTCCATCCGACATGCCCTGTGCGAGCCTGGCGCGCGGATCTTGCCCTGCACATTCACGGGCTCGAACTTGGTCCCTGAACCATAGATCGCCTTGCCACCCGAGAATTTGAAGCAGTCTTCGGCCGTCACTTCAGCCTGTGTACTTGGGTTGGAAAGCGAGAAGATGATTGGTCGGAATGCTCCGCCCTTCGCTGCTTGCACTGCCACCATCTCTTTGATCACTTCCTGGCCCAGAAGGGTCTATTTTAGGTCCTTTTCGTACGGGCGCCGCCTGTTTTTCGGTTCCTAAAAAAGGGACCCCTAACCATCAAAAAAGGCTGACTTGTACAAAGCAAGAAAAGTCCTCTGTAAAGCATCCCGGTGCGCGGCCGACGGCACCCACAAGAACGTCTGGTTTGTGATGCTTGATGATGGAAACCAGGTTGGTCGCGTCGTAGCCTTGTGCAGGGATTGTACAAGTATCAGCTGCTTTTTTACTTTGAACCGCTGCACGTTGACCGAGCGTCGCGAAAGGCTAAGACATGCTTATTGCATGACAATCAAGAAGTTGCTCCTTTGACGTTCCTGGAACCTCATATAAAAATGGGCAATCAGACAGACGCGCATCGCCCGCAGGGCCAGCATGCGGACCTGGTCCTCCGGCCCGTGGGCCCAAGCTTCAAGCGAGGACAAAGCACAGCAAGGGAGAAACAAGCATACAAGTATCAGCGCGAGGTTGCATGCAAATCAAGTTCACGTGCCGAAGTGGCGGTACATTACATCCATATATACACACGCCCACACGCACACATATGATTATTGATTTATTTTCATTTTCTATAATTATATTAATATGTGCGTGCGCTTGTATGTATGAATGAATGAATGTATGGATGTATGTATGCATGT